AAAAAAAATAAATCATAACTAAATTTATGCTATTTTTAAGCTAAAATTGTTACACAAACTCTACAGCTTAAGGGATAATGATACAAATAATGAAATATAATCTATACTATACTATGCTAATATTATGTTGTGTTATAATCTGCTTTGTAACAGTATATACTAAAAAATAATTCAATATTTCTTCAATATCTTTATTGCACACTTTATAGCTTGTGTCTTTGCATATTAATAGTTTTCTCTGTTTAAGTTTTGTAAGAACAAAAACTTCTTGTATTAAAAGCTTAATCCAAAAAAAGACACTTTTACTTTTCTTAAGAATTTGTATTTGTAACTTGTAAATCTTTAAAGTGAGACCAGAAGAGCTGCCAATTTATATCTTTTACTTCTTTTCTGTTGTGAAAATCTTTTCTAAACTTGACAGACTTAAGCTTGCATTAACTTTTGCTTGAAAAATCTTTTTAAAAAAAAGCTTAAGCTTGCCTTTATACTGTAAATTCACTAACTAAATTGGAACTGTTGCTATATATTGCTCATACTTGCTACTTTAAATATTTGACCTTGCTCTACTTCTTTTTTTGCAAGGGCATCTGCTATATTGTTTTCTATAATCCTACTATGGCTTTTAATATTGTTTAATACTAAATTCAAATTTTTAATTTTTACCAATTCTATAATAACAATTCTAATACTACTATTGTTTAATTTCACATATTTTTGAGTTCAAATCCTACTGGCAATGATTTAAATAAAACTACTTGTATTATAATAACAGATTTTCATTAATAAGTTGGGTTATATTATCTGTAGTGTTTCTAGTTAGTAAAAACTTTGCTAATCAACTAGTTGCCAACTAATTGATTATTTATATCACATGATATTATTAGATAATTAGCCAATCAAATTCAAGAAATCATTACAAATTAGCCCAACTAAGTGGAATATCTTGGAATTATATTATTGAATAATTAGTTTTTTAGTTGTTTAAAAATTTTTCAAATTGATTAGTTGGAAATTTAGCAACTAGTTAGTTTTTTAACTAATAATTTGGAACATTAACATGTGGCTTAATATACTTTCATCATAATGTATAGTGTTTAAAACTTATTTAATAAAATAGTGCTACCAAAGAGGTCATCTTTAACAACAACAAAAAAAAAAGAAGTGACAAAGGTAACAAAGTCAACAGAGAAGACAGAGATGATAAATAATATAAGTAATAAAAGTAACTAAAAGTAACAGAGATAACAGAAGTAATCTAGCCTATTATGTATTTTTGTAAATATTAGTAATTAATATATGTTGCATAGTTTTAGTAAATATTTAAATTAGTAAAGAAAATATAATTTGATAATAGATTGTATAATAAAGCAAAAAATAAAAGATTTATTTTAAACTAGTCATGTAATTGTATGCTAATAATATGTATTATAATTGTAGTAAAAGAGTTTATTATATTAAAATCAGGGTTGGCACGGACTGATCAATGGTCAAGCTTGACCAGACCAGTTTGACCAATTGACCAGTTGGTCAAAGGGTTTAGTATTGGTCAAATTGAAGTATATAGTATACATATGCATATATATTTATATATGGGGTCTTTGCCTTGAAAATGACCTTACGGGAATATGTAGATTTTATGAATAAAAATTAAAATTTCTAGCTATCCAGTAATCCAATTCAAATAAACTTCTTTTTTATTTTGTAGAGCTTAGTGAATTCTGCAAAATAAAAAAAATTATTTGAATTGGATTATTAGAAGGCTAGAAATTTTAATTTTAATTTATAAAGTCTACATAGTCCCGTAAGGTCATTTTCAAGGCAAAGACCCCATATATATTTATTTTGTATATTAAATTTATTTATTTAATAGGCTAATTTGATTATGTACTTCTGCTTTGTCCCTCTTTTCACCGCTACCTTAATGGTGATTAATAACAGGGTAGGTGTTAAGAAGGGAGATCCAGCCAAAGTATCCCCAGGCCATTTGACCAATTTGACCAGACAATTTGACGAGACCAGTTTGACCAATGAATTTTTGGTCGACCAGTGATTTGACCAATCCTGATTATAATATAAAAATATTAATACTGTATTTAGATTTTTTAATAAGGTTATCTTTAAAAAATATATAGCAAAATAACTATTACATATTTAAAGCAGAAAACTATCAATATATTTTAATTATGTATGTATTATAGTATACTATAAAATTGTATTAAAAAGTTTTATAGTGTCTTAATAAATAAAATGCAATATTAAAAAACATACCGTAACAGTAATTTACAGTACTATTACTTATTTTATACATAAGAAATTTAAAGAAATATAAAGTGTCGCGGCTGAAGCTGGAAACGGCTGATGCTGGAAATTAGGGTCCTTGATTTAAAAATAAAAACCCTACCAAAATTTACTTATACTCTTTTATTATTAAAATTACCACTAAACTCTAACCCAACCCTAAAAAAAAACCCTAACAAAAGGCCCCAAAAATTTTTGAAAATTTCATATTAAAATAATTAAAATTTCCAGCATCAGCCGTTTCCAGCATCAGCCGCGACATAAAGTAATATAATAAGTAATAATACGTACAAAAATCAGCCCATCTTGAAAATAGGCGCTGCTATAATTAATACTAATTTAATTAATTTTAAATACAAATTTTTATTATTAAATTATAAGCTAAACTCTAAAATTAGGTCTAGTACAAAACATAATACATTTGAGCCTCTCAAACTGATCCTGTCAAAACTGGTAAAAAATTATTCTACCATGTTCGTTTCTGTTATATAAACTTAATAATTTACTATGTTTTCAAATTTGATACTTTTCAATACTAATACAAATCTGTCTACCATGCACATCGGTTTTGAAAGGGTTGACTATATCCAATTACTGTAAAATGTTATTATTTCCCACTTTTAGTAAAATTTTTAAGCTTTTTAGTAAAATTTTCTGTTAATAAAAATTTTAGTAGCACTATTAATCTAACTTCCGGTATCAGTTAATATTCATTATTTATAGTTGCAAAGTGAACCTCATGTTGATTTAATAGTTTATATGTAATTTCATAGTTATCAAGTACATCTTTATTATTTGGATGAATTTTCAATAATTTATCTAAATCAACAAGTGATTCTTTATATTGACCTAGTAATCTATATACAATTCCACGAGTTCTGAGTGCGTGTACATTAATTGGACTAATTTCCAACGCCTTATTTAAATCGGTAAGTGATTCCTTATATTGGCCTAGCATTTCATAAACTTCTCCGCGGATACCAAACACTTCTGAGTTATTTGGATCAAACTCCAATGCTTTATTAAGATCTATGATTGACTCTTCATATCGACCTAGCATTTTATAGGCGATTGCACGATTTACAAGTGCCAAAGTATTGTTTTGATCAATCTCCAGTACTTTGCTTAAATCTTCAAGCGATTTTTCATATCGATTTGACAGTAAATAGGCAATTCCTCTGTTTAAAAATGCATCTGCATTATTTAAATCTTTAAATGATATTTCATTTTGATCCAACATCATATAATTAACACCCCGGTATCCGATTAAATCTGCATTACTTTCATTGACTTCTAATGATTTATTAAAATCTATTATTGATTCTTCATAATTGTTTAAATTTCTATGTATAATTCCACGAACTCTAAGTGCGAATGCATTATTTTGATTAATTTCCAATGCTTTATTCAGATCTGCGAGTGATTCTTCAATTTGTTCTAGCTTTAAGTAGGTAACACCACGGTTACTGAGTGTGTCTACATTATTTGGATCAATTTCTAATGACCTATTCAAATCTGCAAGTGATTCTTTATATAAATTTAACAGCTTATAAACTACTCCACGGTTATTAAGTGTCTTTGCACTATTTGGATCAATTTCTAATGACTTATTTAAATCTATAAGTGATTCTTCATACTGCCCCAGCATCTTATAAATAGCTCCGCGGTCATTAAGTGCAATTGCATTGTTTTGATCTATTTCTAATAGCCTATTCAAATCTTCAAGTGAATCTTCATATTGTTTCATACCAAAATGTGTTGCTGCCCTTATTAAATGTGGTTTAATTTCTAATTTATCTATTCAATTCATTTTCAATAAGTAAAATATACAGCTTTTAAGCAGAGATAGGATAAGAATAATTACCACTTTTGAGATTTTTATAATTTGATTCGAAATGAGAATCTGAAAACTGGGATAGATAATCTAAAGAATCTAAATTTTCCAATTAATTATTAAAATTCGTAAAATATATCCATACTATAAAGATAAATATTAGTTATTTTACCATAATAATTATAAAGTTGTGAGCTATTTGCTGAAGTTTTAGAAGCCATGCCTAAAGAGACCTTTAAGTTAAATATATAGTAATTTTAGAATCCAATAAGGCTTCAAAAACACCTACTTTTTTCTGCAAGGGGTAATATTATCATATCAGTGTCATTATTTTGCATATTCTTGCTAGTGTCTATTTATGAATAATTCGAAAACATATGATTTGAGTAATCCTAATAATTATTATATATATTATATAGTTAATTATTTTCATATCTTTACCGCCAGATTCTTTTTCACGCTGATTATTGTCAATTTGATTGTTGTATTTGATACCTGTAAAGCAAATGTGTCAATAATGATTTAAGGAAATTAGTAAGTGAAGAATTAGACATAAATTTACCAATATTATTTTTATGCATGCTTTTATCAACGTCATCGCCTATGAAATGAGAAGTTTTAAATTAAACTAATTGTGTTAAATATATAAAAAACCTAAATATTTTTTTACCTAAGTTTAGCTTGTCTTTGAAATTAAAATTTACACTTTTATAGGTATTGAATGAATTTGTTTGTGGAAGAGAAGGCTTAAGCTCTAATTCTGGTAGCAAAATTTCTTCATTATTAATTTGTTCAAGTGCCTTATTAAAATAATCGTATAGCTCTTGTGCATTTGGTCGCTGTGAAGGATCAGCACTCCAACATTTTTTCATCATAGATTCATAGTCAACAGGAATTTCAGAGATAATTTGTGGACGAAGACCTTTACAAATTTTTCTTAAAAGACTAATATCATGTGTACATCCATCAAATGGGAAACATCTAGTAACAAGTTGCCACATAATTATTCCTATACTATATATATCTGATGCAGTTGTATATTTATTACAGTAAAAAACTTCAGGGGCCATGTAAGGCATGATTCCAAATGTTTGTTTAGCCGGATCTTTATCAGCAGATCCACAAAAGCCAAGGTCACTAATAAACCATCTCTCTTGATCAGAGAGAATATTTCCAGGGTGGAGATCTCGATGTACCATGTTAGAATTGTGAATAGGAATAAGTTCTTTAAGTATTTGTTGAAACAATGAATATATTTGTTTCCAGCCAAATTTATTATTTTCATTAAATATAAAAGAATTAAGATCACCACCTTTCATGTATTTTAAGATTAACACATATTCTAAATTTTCAGAAAATTTAGTCAATCCATAGCATTTGACACCAAGTGAACCAAGGCTTGAAAATATTATATGAGACACTGCCTGTTAAATAAATTAAAATAATTAATATTTGCTGTAACCATGCGATAAACACATAGTATTGCAAAATATGTAAACCTCATTGAAATATTCAATATTTGGGTCATCGGAATTGTTCAATGATTTTAAGATGATTTCTTCAGAACCAGATCTTATAAAATTCTGATTATCATTATTCCATTCAACAATCCAACCGTCAGTCCAAACAGCAGTATATATAGATCCAAATCCACCTTTTGTTTTAAATATGACATTTTCAAATTTTTCAAAAGGTATCCATTCAATAATTGTGTTTGGGCTTGGATTTCTCGTTTGACATACTCGAAGAAGTTGGTCAATAAGTGCATTACCAGATGTCCAATTGTTAAAATTGGATTCAAGATATAGTTTTATGCATTCAATTTTATTATTTTCAGAAATAACTTCTAAAGCAATTTCATCATTTGGATCAATTTCTAATATCCTCTTAAAATCTGCAAGTGAATTCTCATCTAAATTTAAATTTTTATAAGTAGCACCTCGATTTCTAAGCGAATCTGTATTAATTGGATTAATTTCCAATGCGCGGTTCAAATCTGCAAGTGAATCTTCGTATTGACCTAACATTCCGAAAACAACACCGCGGAGATTAAGTGCTAAAGCATCATTTGGATCAATTTCCAACGCTTTATTTAAATCGATGAGTGAATCATTATATTGTCCTAAAAATTTGTAAGTGTCTCCACGATTTCTAAGTGCAAAAGTATCATTCGGATCAATTTCCAACACTTGATTTAAATCTTCAAGTGATTCTTTATATCGGCCTAAAAATTTGTAAGTTTCTCCACGATTTCTAAGTGCAAAAGTATCATTCGGATCAATTTCCAACACTTGATTTAAATCTTCAAGTGATTCTTTATATCGGCCCAAAAATCTGTAAGTAACACTACGGTTAGCAAGCGCATATTCATCATTTTCATCAATTTCCAAGGCTTTAGTTAGATCTGTAAGTGATTCATCATAGCGGCCTAATATTTCATAAATCTCACCACGATTAGTAAGTGCATCTATATCATCTGGATCAATTTCTAATGATTTACTTAAATCTGTAAGTGATTCTTCATATAGACCTAGCATTTTATATGAATTTCCACGGTTTATAAGAGCATATGTATAATTTTGGTTAATTTCCAATGCTCTATTAAAGTCTGCTAATGATTCTTCATATTGATTTAATTCTTTATAAGTAGCACCACGATTATTAAAGGTTTCTGCATTAGTTGGATCAATTTCAAGTGACCTATTTAAATCGACAAGGGATTCTTCGTACTGACCTAACAGGCCATAAGTAGCACCACGAAACCTGAGTGCATCAGAATCATTTGGATCAATTTCCAATGCATCATTTAAATCTTCAAGCGATTCTTCAAGTCGATCTAACATTTGATAGGAAATTCCACGGTGAAGAAGCGCATCTTTGTTAATTGGATCAAATTCTAATGCTTTATTTAGATCAGAAAGTGATTTATTATATTTATCCAATTTATTATAAGTAATTCCACGATTTCTAAACGCATCTATATTATATGGATCGATTTCTAATGACCTATTTAAGTCCGCGAGTGAATCTTCGTATCGGCCTAGTAATCTGTAAACAATTCCACGATTTATAAGTGAGGACACATCATCCGGATTAATATCCAATAAAATATTTAAATCTATAAGCGATTCTTCATGTTGACTTATTATTTTGTGGTTACTAAGAGCGGATACATTATTTATATCAGTTGTTTTATACATTTATTATACAGTGATTAGAGTATTATTAAAAACGCCTAAGAACAGTCACCACTGTATTATAAATTATTAATATTTAAAAGTACAGGTTTGCAATACGATATAATTCAATGAACTACATAAGTGTTACAACCCCCGGTTTAATGTATTACTGATTTTTTATGGGTGGGTATATCCTTTATTCTGATTGGGTGATACAATATATTTATATAATATATCTTTAAAAGGAAAAATTTATTTAACATCTAGTGTTTGAAACACTAGTGTTTGTGTAACATGTAATAAATTAAATAAAATAAACGATAAACAAAAAAAAACAATAATTTTAATTAATATTAGATCCTTAGAGCATGAAAGATAGTTTTATAAGCAAAATTTCAAGATATTCATATGAAAGCAATTCTTGAATGTGTGCCAGGTTAATGGCGCATAAACCAGCCACAAGATCATTTTTATTGCAGTATCTACATATTCAACGAAAGTGTTTCTGTATGTTTTCTATTTTTCTTTTGTGACTTGAAGACATAGCAAAAATAATATAGTTTTTAAAATTTTTAGTTCGCTCATTATAAAAAGTACTACAATAAAGAGTTGACCGTACTTAATATGTAGTACGGTAATTCCAGAAATATTTAAGGATAACAAAGCTTATAAAATTTAATTATAAAAGTGGGACGTCTTTAACATTAAGGAACACTAATATTATTCTTTTTTTTTAAGATACGATTCAGCATAGACTACGTATGAGAAAAGTTTTTTTCATTTAAAGAATTTTTTTTTTTGTAAACTATATAGTACGTGTTTATTTGAGATTTATTATCATACTTTTAAAGCCAATATAATATATATATAATATACGCGTATTATATTAACAGTTAAGAACTTTGACATTTGGTCTATAAAAAATCTTTATTATAAATAGTTTTAAATTCTAAACAATAATATTAGAAGCTAAAAATTATGAAAAAATGAGAGAAACGCGTTTTTTTGAAAATAACAAAATCATTATTCGAGTAGAATAACGTTAAAAAATGGAGTTTTCGTTCTATAGTTTTGTTAATGTAGTCATTAGAATTTTTTAATTGGCGCAAATTTTCTGGCTGAGCTAATTAATGCGCCACCAACCTGGCACACATTCAAGAATTGCCATATGAAATGTGTGTAGGTTTGTGGCGCATATTGATTTAACTACAAATCAGATTTCGTGATCATATGTAACGTAACATAAACAAAAAAATTCAAACCAAGCATTCGTTTTGACAAAAATCACTTATTTCTTGAAAATCTATAAGAAACCACCTTTAGTGCTTTAACAAAAAGTTTTTATTGGGCAATTTTACTATATAAATACTCTATTTCTAGCCCAAAACTCTAACTCTTACCTGACATTAACGAACTTTAAAGGATTTTAGCTATGCTACAAACCTGATACACATTTCAAATTTTTGGTTTTTTTCTTTATTTTTGTTGTACAAAAATAATCTACATATTTTGATTAGTTTTTCTAATTGCAATTATGGATTTTTGAAAGTTGTATAATGCAGATCATTCTGTTCATTGGTAAAGATCTGCAATTCTGTAGTACAAATTTTGGCCAAATTATTGACTATATTGTTACACTTTTGTTATTTAGTGCAAAACCGCCTTATAAAGCCTCGGGGATCCTCAGGAATTCCTAAACTACATAGCCTTAAGATGCTTATTGTAAAAAAAATTTAAAGAATTTTTTAAAACTGATGGTTATTTTCAGATAATAAAAAATACTTTTGTTTTTTCAATTGAAATCGGGTTTAGAATACTCTTCTAATATATTTGCAGATCATTTCCATATTGCATATAATCCTAGACTGAATTGTTTTGTATAACCTAGTGTTCAAATAGAAATTGTCTATTTAAAATTCTATTTAAATTAAGCAATTACTATTTGTACACTAGTATATATATATAGATATTGTTATTTTTCAAAATTTTGATTATAACCCACCTTTTTACTTCTAACAAAAAAAAAAATTTTTTACAAAATTTTGGTATAAACTATGTCTTGTTTCAAGTTTTACTCTTATTATAACTATAAACAAGAGTTTAATTTTTTATTTGTAAAAATTTAATTAGTATTACAAATCAATACTTGTTTACAAATATCTATATAAATTTAGAAATTTTTTTATTTGATATAAATGACTAAAGTTTATTAAGAGTATGTATATATATACAGTGCATATTTTTAAAAGGCTATTGTTTAACATAGTAAAGCTAATAACAAATTTTACTAATTTTTCTTATAAAATAATGATGCATATTTGTTACCAATAAGGTGTTTGGGTTAAAATCCTAACAGGTTATAATCCTAACAATAAAAATATTAACAATTAAAAAAAGTTCTCTTTGAGCAATTTTACTATATAATTGTCTAAACCCTAACTCTAACCTAGATGCTTACTCTAACTCTAACCTATGCTTTCACCTAACCTTAACCTAACTTAATGAACTTAATAATTTTTTGTTGTTAGGATTTGTTAAGATTTTTACTGTAGGATTTTTTTGTCAAGATTATGATTTGTTAGAATTCTGTTTGTTAGGATGTTGACTAGCACCCATTTAGCATATTATATATTATAATTCAGAGTTGGTCAATAGTCAAGCTTGACCAGACCAGTTTGACCAGTTTGACTAGTTGGTCAAAGGGTTTAGTGTTGGTCAAATTGGTCAAAAAATATTTAAATATATAGTATATATATGCATATATCTATTTTGTATACTAAGTTTATTTATTTAACAGACTAGACATTTGGCCAATTTGATCAGACCATTTGACCAATTTGACCGGACTAGTTTGACCAATGAATTTTTAGTCGACCAGTGATTTGATCAACCCTGATTATAATATATTTATTTGATCAACTAATTTCATATTATGTCTGATTTTACAATTTAATTAAAAAAATACTGTAGTAATATTACTAAAAAGAGTTTTACTACAAATAACCAGCGGTGATCGTCACCGCCCTAGATAATTTAGGGTTAGGGTGTGGGTATTAAGAATTATTTTTTTTATATAATATAATATACCTGAATGTTTTTACTTAAAATACCCGATCTAGTTTACTTAGTACATTTTTGAGAAATAAGCATCCTAGTAATAATCACTGCTGGTTATAGGTATTATTTATTTCTTGGGAGCTTAAAAATTACAACAGAGATTCTCAATAATTATAGGATACAGATAGCCCGAAGGGCCATCTGCATTATATAATCATCATGGAATCCTCTGTTGTAATTTTAAACTCTTTACAGGAAATAAATGAATAATCTCCTACCTTATGTTATTCATGACTACCTTCATTATAGTTTTCACATAGCCGGGAATCTTCTCACAAAAGATTCCCAGGCATGTGGAAAATTATAATGAAGGTGGTCATGAATAACAAATAGTAAGGCAGGAGATTATTAGTAATATTCTACTAAAAAACCTTGTAGTTAAAATTTTGTTTATAAAACTACCTTTTATATTTTAATAAATTTCTAAATTTACACAAGTGTTTGTACACGGGTATTAATTTCAAATCTGTTAATATTCAAAATCAAAACAAATTGCATAAAACAAAAAAATCAATTGCTAACTAAGGTTTGGGTTTGGAATGGAAGTGGAAGGTATTATATACTAAATATAAGCGAAATTTTGAAAAGAAAGCGATAGTTTTATGTTACATCTGATCATGTAGCTTTTTATATACTCATATTTAACTATTAGAAATTTATTGATTAGCAAACTCTATTGGTTTTATGAGATTGATTTTTAAATCTAATAAGTGTGATATTTTTTAGGGTTTTTCATCTTTCGGTTGCAGTTCTATAAATAAAAATTGAAAAACATTTAAATAAAGTTGTAAATCTTTATGTGTAGAAAAAAGAAATTATAACGATAAAATACCTCTTTTGAATACTATTTCAATAACATGCAACAAATCCATAATAAAAAGATCACATCGTTCACGTGAAAAATCTTCACACATAACAATATAATATGTTAAATATGTGGTGCCATAGTATAAGTTGGTACAATCTATTGATGTTTACGAATATGATAGGCAACATCAAACTAACAAGATTTATTGAAAATTTATTAATATTATAAGTTATAAATATCTTTAGCATCGAATTATATCAAACACTAAATTAAAAAATTCTACAAACCCCATCATAATATATATTTTTGGCTTTCAATTTAAGGCAATCCATTTCCATTTCTAATACTTAGAATATCAAATTTATTTGCAGATTCTAGCCTGATAGCAGAATAATCAGCAATACCCATCAAATTTCTCATGATCGAGGTGAATTCTTGACATCCAAATCGAATTAAAACATAATATTGTGCGATCACATTTGTGGCACCTTTGGAAAAATTTAAGCCTAGAGAAAATAAAAATAAAACAAAAGTCAGATTTATAATAGTACAAATAATAAGTTCAAATTGACAATTTCAATGTTTATAGTATCAACAATTTAAAATCCTAAACATTAAAATTTATCCTGACAATTGTTATACTGGCAATCATAAATAATGCAACATGTAATAATTTTTATAATAAAACATAGTAACTATTGAAATTTTCACTATATAATAAAAATTTTTAGAAAAATTTTTATTATATAGTGAAAATTTCAATAGTTACTATGTTTTATTATAAAAATTATTATGTGTTGCATTATTTATAATTACCAGTGTAATATATTAACTATTAGGTTATAAGCTATTCAAAATAATGAATTTATATAATTTTAAAAATATCAAGCTTCTGATTTTCTATGTGTGTATTTTATAATGAATTCCAATTATAAATAATTAAATTTATACCTGATCAGACCCAAGATAATTTATATTAAAAAACCAATTCTTCAGGCAAGTACTTGTTTTGATTTCCAAAATAGCCCATCCATAGCATAATCCATATTTATGACCTGAAACATTAATAGATCGAACCAATTTGAGCCTATTTATTATTATACAAGCAATTCAATTCAATATCGATATATGAGCTGCCATTGTAGGTGCCAGTTAAAAATATTGCATCGCATGAATTAAAATTTTAAATTTATAATATCTTCTTAATATTAAAATAAAAAATATTAGAATTGGTCATTAGTTTAAACAAAGTTAGATAAATTTTTTTTTTAAAAAATAAGAAGACATTGTATATTTAAAAATTTAATTCATGTGGAGTACAGTATTTTCAACTGCTATTATAGCTGATAGATTTGGATTATTTATATTACTAGTTACGGCTTTATTTTATAAACTATATATAAGATTTAACTAGTCATGTTAGGGTGGTGACAGATATTACGTAATATCTTTTTACTATAGGGGTACCCCTCTCCCCCACATAAGTCAACTCTGATTGGCTGATCTAAAAATAGTTATAATATATTATATATATAATTATATTACTATTATATATATATATATAAACTTGAATAACTTTTGATCCACTGGACCGATTTGGATGCTTAACCACCAAAATGATCCTTAGGATTACAGCTTTCTAATGGATCCAAAATCATCCAATTCTGATCACAGGATCCCGATATCGGAAGTTTTACTATATAGTAAATATAATACAATATACTTCCGATCTCGGGATCCTGTAATCAGAATTAGATGATTTTGGATCCATTAGAAAGCTGTCATCCTAAGGATCATTTTGGTGGTTAAATCATCCAAATTGGCCCGGTGGATCAAAAGGTATCCAAGTTTATATTATTATATATATAATAATAATATAATTATACTATATATTATATATATTATATATATATATTATATATAATACACAAGTGTAACATAAGAATTTGCCTGACCCCACCCCCCTAGGATATTACGTAATATCTGTCACTCCCCTTATAAGTCTGCATCTATAATTAACATTGTATCATTGCAAATATTTAAAGCTACTGTAGATAAAAAGGTATTAACCTGAATCCCAAACAAGATCAGATCAGAGTTCACAAAAATCTACCAAACACGGCATCAATATGAATCGGCACATCCCAACCATTTTTTTTTATTTAACTGCTTTCACATCTTTATAATATCGATCTAACTTGGGAGTAAACAGAATATTATTATTAGACATTATACAGGAATCCACAGTATATAAGGGCAGCATAATTCATGTGCGGTTCTCCGGACATCAGAGACCTATAAAATTTGTATATAAATTAATACAAATTAATGCAAATTTAGATTGATTATGCAAATTAAACCAATTTTCTAAGTGTAAAATTCATGTGATATTTATAAATCTAATTGGCTAATAATGTTGGATAGTGTGCTGAATTAAGATTCTGAATATTCTGAAAGAGAAAATGGATAAACATAAAATATGAGAACAAAATTTTAAATAAATTTTTGATGCTTTCTAAAAAGAAATAAAGAAATCGCAAATTAATATAGTTAATATTTTTATTACAAATTAATACAAATTTTGCAACAATACAAATAAAGATTTCGTATAAACAAAAAGTTTTTATGGGTCCCAGCTGGGCATTATACAGCATACTATGTGAGTAATCATCATCATATATTCAACTAATCAGAATTACTGAAGTGGGGAGATGTGATGGTTGCAAAAAAAAGTTTCTGCGAGAAAATTAAAATCGAATATATTACACAAATACTAATTGTATTCTCGTCAACAAGTAAAATATATGTATCTTTTGTCAGATAAAAAAATTTTCATCGATTCAAAATATTTATTCTTTCGATATTATTGAATAAGGTCTTTATCCCTATTTGAGTTTATGTAATTTAATAAAATCTTTATCTATATTAAAGAGCAGGACAACCACGTCATTTCTAAATTGCAGATATTTCAGATTATGGTCCAAGTTTGTTTTCAAAAAAAAAAATGTTAGCACATCATATTATCATCATGCTCTGAACTCAATAACCTCTACAATTCTAACAGGAGCGAATGAATCCAGGCTGTTAGAACCTTCAAGACCCTCTGATTCAGTAAGAAAACCTTCAACAAGCAACTACTATATATTACCAAAATGCAAACATAGCATCTCACTCCTGTCAGTGTAAACAGAATTCCCACACACTAAACATGCAATACCAAATGAGCAAAGAATCCACCTTTGATAAGTTTTTCTTTTTGGTATACATACTTTCTACACAAACAGAAACTCTTAAGTTATAACCTAGAATAATCTTTAGGACAAAAAAAACCTGTTAGCATATCATATCATCATTGCACTTTGAACCCAACAACCTCTACAATTCTAACAGGAGAGGAGCAAACAAATCCAGGCTGTTAGAACCTTCAAGACCCTCCGATTTAGTAAGAAAACTTTCAACAGGCAACTATACTATTAAAATGCAGACGCAGCATCTCACTCCTGTCAGTGTAAACAGAATCTCTACACACTAAACATGCAATACCAAATGAGCAAAAAACCCACCTTTGATAAGTTTTTCTCTTTGGTATATGTTCTTCCTATGCAAACAGAAATTCTCAAATTATAAGCTAGAATAATCTTTGGGACAAAAAAAAAAAACATTAGCACATAATATCATCATTGTGCCTTGAACCCAATGACCCCTACAATTCTAACAGAAGTGAATGAATCCATGCTATTAGAACCTTCAAGACCTTCTGATTCAGTGAGAAAACTTTTAACAAGCAACTATGCCACCGAAATACAGATGCAGCATCTCACTCTTGTCAGCATAAACAGAATTCCCACATGCTAAACATGCAATGCCAAATGAGCAAAAAACCCACCTTCAATAAGTTTTTCTCTTTGGTATATGTTTTTCCTATACAAATAGAAGTTCTTAGGTTATAACCTAGAATGATCTTTGAGACAAAAAAAAAAAAATATTAGCACATTATATTGTTATTGCATCTTGAACCCAATGGCCCCTACAATTTTAACAGAAGCGAATAAATCCAGGCTGTTAGAACCTTCAAGACCCTCTAATTCAGTGAGAAAACTTTTAATAGATGACTATATCACCAAAATGCAAATACAGCATCTCACTTCTGTTAGCATAAACAGAATTCTTACACACTAAACATGCAATGCTAAGAATTCACCTTTGATAAGGTTTCTCTTTACAGCAACTATTCAGTACATATTTTCTTATATAAAATAAAAATCCTTATGTTTATATATAACTTTTAATATCAAAAATTCCCATATGCCTCATATTTATCATTATATATATATATCAAAAAAAATTTCAAAATCAGGTATTTTCTAAAATATATAACAAACACACTTGTTTCACAACAATACATATGACATTTTATTGGTACTCAAATGTTTGTGATTTTGTACAAGTATTTGACTATGATTGTGCAGTAGATAATAGTATATGATACAGGTAATTTCACCCTATTTGTTGTTATACAGCATGTGATTAACAATGAAAAAAAGTTATTTTTTATCTGCCCAATCTTGTATGATTAAAAATACCAGAATATAATAGTATTTTAATATGGTCTGCAATTCTGGCTCATGCTTGTGCACAATAAGGCATTTGCAGATCTATTTTATAATTTTATTAATAATTTATTATGTTTATATTTAATTGTAAAAAGAGATATATATTTATTATAAAAAAGCATGATTAAAATTTATTCTTATTGGCTATTTAATTATCGCTGATCAATTGATAATCTTGATCATGATTGGTTAATAGATTAGAATTTTAAATAAAACTTTGATTTATAAAAAGTGACAAACTACTAGTTACTAATATAAAAAAATTTTATATATGTATTTCTGGTCTCTTTATTACATAATGAATATTCCTGATCTTATCTGATCTTAATATTTGAGAAATTTTACAAGAAGCAAAGTTTACTAGCTAGAAACTGTACTAATGGCACATGTAAATTTATATTGAACCTCTTTTGCCCAATCTAACTCTGGTTTTTCTGTAGAATTGTTATTACAATCATCTTTTACAAGCTCTTTGTCTTGCATTTTCTCCGTAGTAAAGATATTAGGACCTTTTTTTAAATATTGTACAAACTTTTTCACGTTATAATTAATACCTTTCTTAAAATATTCTTCGCAATGATGACAACTATAATATAATTTAGTGTAGCAACCATAATGATAACCGTGGCCACAGATCAGAACTTCTCTATCATCTAATATTTCATAGCAGTAGTTACATAGATTTGCTAAAGGTGAAAAACTTGTACTGAAATCTACAGGTAAATATTTCATATCTACAATTTCATTTAAAGAAGCCAATTGGTACAAAGAATAGCGTTGCTTTTTATAAAATTTGCTTTTTTCTTGATTGTTAAAAATTATATAAAAATATTCAAGAAAGAATAATCCAGTTTTTTTTATTAAAACTTCTAGAGATGATAGTGAATATAGATATTTTTTAGTTTTAAAAAATGCACTTTTTAATTCACTTTTATTTCGAGAATCTATTTTAATATATATTATGTTAGCAATATATATATATATTTGTACAAACACTTGAAATGTATTAAGGAAATAAAAATGGTTTAATTTAAAAAGTATATTGTATTCAAACTGAACTTAATAATAAATTTTAAAAGTTCAACTTATTTAGTTTAGAGAAGATATATTATAGTAAATATTTAAACTTACCAATAATATAAGCTTGGCCTATAATATTATCTGCTGCAGAATTATAAAATATACTCACATGTATTTTACTATACATGTTCTCGACAAAATAGTCATTAAAATAAACTAAATATGATTTAATAACCTCTGTGAATAGATGATTGTTATCTTGCCAGTAAAATATATCAGATAAAAGTGCCATTGGGGCTTTATTGTAATTGTATCTTCACCATTGTAGCATAAATATCCAGATTCTAAAAACTGATTCTAAGTATTCATCAAATGAACTAGATCTAAAAAGAATAGAATAAATATCAAGTGTTGTTGGAATCATGTTGTCAAGTAAATCTATAATCATTTGATATTCAATATTTTTACAAAAAACTTCAAATTTTATTAAAACAATATTTTTTATTAAAGACCATTCTTTGTATGCTAACTCTAGAAGTAAATTTATACACCACAGCCGTGGCTTTTTGGCCAATTTCTTTTTTTCACCAAACACAAAATTGAATAGCCTTTTAAAAAAAGATGATAAAGAATTAAAATTGTTTCTCTACTATTTAGTGACAAATGCAAAGGACCTAAAATTGGAACAAATAATTTTATTTAAGGAGGAATAGAATAACCAAAATTTTTATACAAATTTGTTATTGCTTTTCATACAAACAATTGTTCTGGCCAATCTATTACAATAGGTGCAATTCAGTTTTTCAAATGTTTAATATTGTTGTTAATATTAAAAACTAGTTAAAGTGCTTTTATATATTCCTCCATAGTATGCAAGTTATTTTCTTGCATCCCAATTAGACATACTGATTTCATCGAATATTCTTCTTTGTGCTCTTCAATCGCATCATTATAAAAATAAATACTTAGTAAATTGATTTGATTAAAATCATTTAAAAACCTTCCATTTCTAAGCCATTGCTCTTTTTGTACAGTATAAGCAATATCAAAAATTCCATGATATTGATTTATTAAACAAAAACAAATATTATAAGCATTGATATTTATAGAATTGTAAATTGGTATATTATTAAAAATTAGAGATATAGGAGCACATGCTATAATTTGTTTGCAAACACATGTTGACATGTGTTTGACATTAGACAAAGTACCATAGGTTTCCGAAAATAAGCTACCCTTTTTTGGCCAAAAAGTTACACAAAAATTATGGGGTAGCTTATTTTTGGGGACAATTAATTTTCATCAATTTTTATTAAGCCACAAGTAGTTGCTACATATAAAAGTCAAAATTCTATTAAGTAAATTGACAAAAGTCACTTAATAGCGATTGTTTAGGAGGTAAAAATACACCTATTCTAAAAGTTTCAAGAGAATAGGAGAACTTTTTACTAGATGTTTTTGCATTTTACATTCAAACGTAAAATGCAAAAACATCTTAGTAAAAAGTTCTCTGATTCTCTTGAAACTTTCAAGATAGGTGTATTTTTACCTCCTGAACAATTGCTATTAAGTGACGTTTGTCGATTTACTTAATAGAATTTCGACTTTTATATGTAGAAACTACTTGCGGCTAATAGGGGGTAGCTTATTTTTGAAACAAAGATGTTTCTTATGTTTTCTCTTCAAGAGAAAAGGGGGTAGCTTCTTTTGGAGGTTGCTTATTTTTGGAAACATATGGTAGTTGTATCAGACCTTCTTTTTTCATGTATGTCATGATAATCATCCAAGTTATATACTAACAAATCATTGAACTATTTTTTATTTTATTTTTTAGTAATATATTTATTTAAAAAAAATAATAATAATAATATATAATAATTTATACATATATTGTCTAAAAGAAATTGTATAATTTTTGTCAGATATTCTTGTATAAGCTTTTTTCTATAATTATAAACTGTTTGATAGCATACTGAAAATCCTATACTATTCAATGTATTAATTGCCAAAAACGATATACCAGAAGCCAAAAGGTATAACCTAATTTCTAACTTAAAATTACTCACAAGCTTATTTCATATTCTAGCCATAATGTAACATAAAGCTACAATTGATTTCTTAACCTCATGCTTATTATAATTTGACCATTTATCAGAAATCAAAGCCTTTGTTAATTTATGTAAATGAGGATCAGTTTTTTCATGCATTTGTTGGAAATGAAGAGGATCCAATTTCAAATCCATGCCACTTTGCTGTTATTTGTATAAAACATTTGTAACTATCCTTATTTGATCGCTAAATGTATGGTTTTTCATTGATTCTATATTCTTTATTATTACTTGAAGGAGAGATAATTTTAGAAGGAATGCTAAGTTTCATATTACTAGCTTGAGATGTGACCACATTAATAGCTAATTTTTTTTTTTGATATCGGTCTGGTTCCACTATATTTAAATAATAAAAGAAACAAAGCTGTTGTCTGATTTTCAAATAACCAAATGTTCATAAGTTCCTTTTGGCTTAGCTTTTTCATATGCAAATGCTGTGAATTTACAAAATTGGCTAGCACTTTTTTCACAATTTTGTACTAAGCAAGGTCTGTAGTTTTTTTACTTATAATATGATAATAAATGTATATATAGTTCAAAATTATAATCAAAGAATTAAAAGTAAATAGAGCAATAATGATAATATATTTGCAGAACCATGTGCTAACCAATCATATTTCTCTGATCAGCAGCCAATCAAAACAAAATTTAATCATGCTTTATAAAAATTAAAATCAAAATAACCTATGGTGATTGTCACCACCTCTAGATATATTTAGAGTTAGGGTTAGAAATTAGAAAATTATTTTTTTTTTATATAATATAATATAGAGCTACTATAAGGGCCCATAGGGCCCAATCTTAGTTTTTGTAAGGTTTTTTGGGGTTCTGAACATTTTTACTTAGAGGACCTGATCCCGTTTACTTAGTACGTTTTTGAGATATAGACACCCTGGTGATGATCACCACTAGTTATAGTTAGATTAATTCTTATTATAATTATTGTAGTATTCTATATTTTGACCTTATATACTTTTGATAGATGTCTTTGTAATTTAAAAAAATTTTTTAAGTATTACTTGGTATGATAATTAAAATTGCTTAGAAAATATTTCATGGGAATGTGAATTTCACAGTGACAATACATTGATAGATAGAAGCAATAAAAATTTATATATAATCTTACTATCAGATATAAGATTATTCAAAAAGATAAATGTCTTGAGTAGCATCTGTGGAGTCTTACCATACAGTATTGGGGTGACCATTAATCAAAACTATGTTAACACAAATTTGTAAATCCGCTAAGTGTAGATTTTTTATACGTACTAATTCGGCAATTCAATTGGTCTAAGATCATATGATAGCAATAATACAAATTTGAAGTATTCGTAAAGTGAGGCTTTATTGTAAAATTAGATGATTAGACTCACTGGCTCAATAGTCTTCGCTCAAATTTTTTTATTTATAATAATTGTAGCAATATGAACAAAATTACAGAAAAAATTTTTACATTAATATACAAGAAAAAATTATTAAATAATTTTACGTAAATATATATAAATTTGTTCCTTGATACTACAATTTTTAGAAAATTTATTATTATATATTTATCAATTGACCTTATATAGTTTTGATTAATTATAATGTTGGACACCCAAATACAGTATGTCGTATCTCGTATCGAAGGTTTTGATGAGCCAACCGATGAGTCAACCGTTCACACAGCTGACGACATCTATGCGTTTTGGAGCCATTATGGTTTATGACCACTAGTAGAAGTTTGGAAAGATTTTTTTAATAATGAATTTCATTACGGTACCAAAAATTCGTGTTTTTGATTTTTTGTTAATAAAAATATCAAAAACATAACCTTTGGCATCTCGTGACACAATATGCAATAGCGATGTTTTTTTTATTAGCAAAAACGAGAATTTTGGTATTACTTTAATCCCACACTACGCTCCAGACAATAAAAAAAAAAGAGCACATTGTAACGAACCAGGCAAATATAATTTTATTTGCATGGGTTTGCTGGCTCGCCGTAATGTTGTACACCACAACCAGGGCCACGAAAAATTTTGGAAATAAAATTTCTAAATTTTTGCACTTAACGTTAACAGTTAATTCCAAAGTTTCCAAATTTTTGCTAATTTTTGTGATCTGATCTGACCAAGTCTTTATACATGTGATTCAACCAATAAAAATGTTCGATCTTCGATAGCTTGTTCTTTGACTAAACCTACTAAAATCTACACATACTTTTTTATTAACAACTTTAAGATGAACTCTAATCTAAAAAATGCACCTAAAATTTCATATCATAATAAAATCAAAAATTTTCAGCATTAGTCACGATAAAAATTATTGAGTTTACATTTACCACATTTGCAACGTATATCGATATAATAAATTTAGAAAATTTTTTACATAGCCTGACCGCTTTATCAAGAGCTTATTAGCCTAATTTGGTATACTAAGCCTTAAAATGCATATATGGACGTTGAATAGCTAAAATACAAGTTATTCGTACAGTCTAAAAATAGCACATGAAAATTTCCCAGCAAAGGAGATGACATGAAAAATACGTGTTTCTTGCAGTTATGTGGTACATGAAAAATTATAGATGAATGGGATATATACTAACTAATAAGCGTGCCACTCTGGCCATGTAATATTTATTGTTAATAGTTATGACATAAATACTCACTTTATTTTTAATAATAGTCGTATGGGAGATGGTGGCGTCAACATTATTGCAAAAATCAAGAGTAGAGAATTTTCAATTCAATGTAAATATTTAATCCAATACAAAATAGATAAATATTTTGTTTATTTATTTATTTATTAATTGATTGATTAATTATAGGGCCAGAAGTTGTAAGAGCTTTGTATTAAGTGGAGTAACGTAAATCTATCAGAAATATTAAATGATAAAATCTGCACATTAAAAATAGTATATTCCTCCCAGATCGGTGCACAGGATTTATTATTGGCGAAATAGTCTATATTTGGTGAACCACAACTGCACCACACTAGACAATGGTTCTTAGTTCGAATGGAATCGGATCAGTTGGTGGTGAAATATTGGCCGACGACTTTGCGAAAACGCCACTGATTTCGTTGAATATCAGTAATAATGACATTGGGCCAATAGGTGGGCACAAATTTGGTTTAATGCTTGAAGAGAATTATGTTCTTAATATCTCAAATGATCGTGAATTCATTGTTACGTCGATGCCTACTGAACCCGTGCTGGCAGAGGCTAGTGCTCGAATAATGAATGAAGTGGAACCATGTTTGTTTCGAGATATTTTGAGTTCTCAGGTTTCAGATTCTTCGCCAGCAATAACCAATCACGTATTGTGGGATCATTGTTGAAGGATCTTTCGATTTGGACCTTTGACTTGGTACTGAAGATCTCAATAACGAGCCCCCGATAGAAAAATGAAACGACCCCGATAACGAGTAACTTTCTTGAGAAAAGGTGTTGTGAGAATTGTTGTAGAATTGTTAAAGAATGTGATTTATCGATAATACTAGTTTTGTGAATAATGAAGTGTTTTAAACATTGGCCAATTAACTTATAATACAATTTGTCTAAATACGCAAATTCTGTTTTGTATTTTATCCTGTACTTTATTTTAAATATTATTAATAAAGCTGGCCTAGTGGCATATATAGTCGTGTTTAATTTGCGTGATATTTTGTGAAATGTTCAATGATCTGCGTTTAATACAGTAATATATGAATTCATAAAATTAATGATATTTGAAGCACATAAAAATTTTTGAAATGCTATTCGGTAAAATTTCAACCGTAATATTCATATTTCTGGTCTTTATAAAAAAAAAAAATTTGGAAACTTTTTAAACTTATTAAAAGTTTCTTTACGGCCTGGTATGGCAAATATCTTTGCTTCGAACTTATTGTCGATGTATACAACATACATTTTTATAAAATTAGGACATAATTTCAGAAGAGTCGTTTGTAAAGTTTGTCGTTAACTTTATCATGTTAATAGTAGCTTTTTAAAAGTACGTGTGTACGTACACGTTCTTAATAAACTATAGTCATTTACATAAAGAATTAAATAAATATTTAAATATTCATAACATTTAACCGTTAGGAATTCATTGATTAGCAAACTCCATTGGTTTTATGAGATTGATTTTTAAATCCCATAAGTGTGATACTTTTTAGGGTTCTCCATCCTTGGGCCGCAGTTCTATAAATAAACATTTAAAAATATTGAATAAATTTGTGAACGTTTACGTATGGAAAAAAAAAATTATAACGATAAAATACCTTTTTACGTTAATACTATCTTTATCCATTTTATCCAAATAATCAATGGTATGCATCAAATCCATAAAAAAAAGATCACATCGTTCACGTGAAAAATCTTCACGCACTACAACGCGTAGCAATTTAATATGTTGGATATGCGGTGCCATAGTATAAGCTGGTACAATCCATTGATGTTCACGAATACGATGAGCAACATCAAACTAACAAGATTTATTGAAAATTTATAAACATTATGAGCTATATATATTTGGTATTGAATTAAATCGAGCATTGAATAAAGAATTCTACAAACCTCATCATAATGTATATTTTTGTCTTTCAAACTAAAAGCTACAAGCGGTAATCCATTTCCATTTCTATCACTCAGAATCTCAAACTTATTTGTGGATTCTAACCTGGTAGCAAGATAATCAGCAATACCCATCAAATTTCTCATGATCGAGGTAAATCCTTGACGTCCAAATCGAATTAAAACGTAATATTGGACGATCACATTTGCGGCACCTTTGGAAAAGTTTAAGGTGAAAGAAGCCTCGAAAAAACGAAAATGATAAAAGTTAAATTCAGATTAAAATTTTGATTTTTCAGAAGCTCGAATGATAATTTCTAGATGTCATAATATCAACAATTTAAAATTCTGAAATTTTAAAAATCGTGATCCTGACAATTTTTAGTATATTAAACGAATTTTGAGATTAGGATTATAAGTTATTAAAATAATGAATTAATCGGATTTTGAAATTATAGAGCTTCTGATTTTCGGTATTTCATAATGAATTACATATTTATAAAAATTAAATATATACCTGATCAGATCCAAGATAATTAATAGTAAAAATCAATTCTTCAGGTAAGTACTTTTTTGATTTCCAAAGTGCCCATCCAATACCGGGGTAACATAATCCATATTTATGGCCCGAAACGTTTATGGATCGAACCAATTCAAGTCTACATATTATTATACGAGCAATTAAATGGTGATATGTATGAGCCTGCCATTTACGATGTCAGTCGAAACATTGCATCACATGAATTAAAATTTTATATCTTCTTAATGGTAAAAATAAAATAAGGTATCTTATTAGAGATCTGACCAATCTCAATCACATAAATGCAGAATTAATCATTAGTTTAAAAAATTTTAATTCATGTGGGGTATGATATTTTCGACTGTCACTGTAAAATTGCAATCTTTAAAGCTAAATAAAAGGTATTAACCTGAAATCCCAAGCAAGATCAGGGTTCACAAAAGGTGCGACAAATCCACCAGACGCAGCATCAACATGAATCGGCACTTCCCAACCAGTTTTTTTATTTTTAACCAACAAAAGATCGTTAACTGCTTTCACATCTTCATAATGTCCAGTGTATGTCGATCTAAATTGGATGCAGAAAATTAATATTAATTAACTATTGTAGAAAAAAAGTTCTTCACTTCGTTCCGGAAAATTAAAAATCGAAACTATTAATGGAATAGTTGAATGATATATTACCCTAATATAACGCAAATACCAATTGTATTTTCGTCTACGAGTTCAACGGCCTTTTCAGGATTTAAAACATATGAATCTTCTGTCAGATAAACAAATTTTTCTTCGACTTCAAAATATCTAGTGGCTAGATATTTTATTTATTGGTTAACAAGAATGATGAAAATCGTATATATATATATATAAAATAGTATGTACCTTTTTCCCAGCAAACTTGAACTATTGAAACAATTAACGTTAAGTGTATAAAAAAGGGTTATTATCAAATAATGTCACGTGACCAACGCATGCAATAAATACCCGATGCTGCCATTACTAAGTTCGGTTTATCGGCGGGCTTTCCTTCGGCAACCCTCCTTTTTTTCCATAACTTTTTCATTGCCAATACAGCAAGCATAATAGCTTCTGAAGAACCTATAGTTGAAACACCTATTGCATCTTCATCATTGGGAGCATTAAAGAGACGAGAAATAATGTTGACGCATCGGTTCTAAAACAAGTTGCAAATAAATGAAATTATATTATTATTATTATTATTTATCGTATACGTAATTAATGATCACTCAAAACGTACCTGTAATTCAACAGTCGCAGGATATTCTTCATAATCGATAAAATTTTTTGGCAGATTTTCTGTCATTAACTTTTCAGCCTCATCCTCCATATAAGTGGTAACGAAAGTTGCTAAGTTTAACACCGGGTTACCGTCCAACTTGTATTATGAAAAAATAAAGTCAAATAAATACATTATTTTATCCTACAAATGGAGATATAATTTACCTGAAGATCATCTTTAATGAGTTTATAAGCGATATGTGGAGGCATTTCCTTGTCAGGTAGTGTATATCTGTTAAGAATAGTTACCATTACATAAATTTATCGACTAAGATAATTAAATGAAAAAAGCGCACTATAAATTTAATTGTGCTTACTTTGGAATTGGTTCAATATCCCAACGAGAACCATAAACCGAAGTTGAGAATGACTTTTACCATGCAAAAAGATTTATATATATTATTAAGAATTAAAAATTCATAACAAACTACAGTATATACATTTTATAAGAATTACAACCTGACCACCGTATTCCTCTGTTTCTTTGTCAGACACGAGACGACTTAAATAAACCATTTTGATAAAAGGTTTTACGGTAAAATAATAACAAAGAAGTTTAAAATAAAGAAAGCTAACGGAAGACTTTGAATAGATTTTTGCATCGCATTTTAAATGAATGAAATGTAAAATAATGACATGAGGTGATGTAATAATGTTTAATGGCATGATAAAATCATTACAGGAAGTTTAAACTAATATTGTTAGTATAATAAAATCAAATTTCCTTTTTAAGATACATTATATCATACGTACGATTTAAAGGCCGAGATATTTCTTGCCATTAGAAGTCAAAATACTAGAAAGTATACTATTTGAAGTGTAGTATCATAATGTGAGTGATGTATGATGATTAAGGCTAGGTAACAAATGATTTATCAGAAGTTAGGTTAAGGTTAGAAATGATATTAATATTAATATTAGGACATTTCAACGGAACTGTTTTAATCGAAAATCTAATTCGTCGACAATGAACGTAGTATACAAAAATCGAGAAGTAATTAGAAAATTTCACATTGTTCATACAAATTTGGTTGACAAGAGGTGTAAAATATCATTTTCTTGATCGGGTGCCTAATGCTATAAATAATGACATTATTGTTGAATCAAAAAAATTAATCGAACTTGTGTCTGGAACCTTATACGTATCTATAATCGAAGATTGATATTATCTAATTTGGTAATTAGGTTGGATTTTATGTTTTCTATATATATTATATTATACGTACAAGGTGCAGATATATTCAAAATTACGTTTATTAGTATAGGCAAAGATCATGATCTGAGTTATGTAAGCAGCTTTACTCTGTAAAAAGGATTCTTGATGCCTCAAAATATCAATACATTGAAATAAATATTAGTAATACATCTGAAAAAGCAACGCAATTATATATATTATGTATGCGAGAATCGACTACCAAGGTCAGTTTTAATAATAATAATAATAATAAATTAAATTGTAAGATAAAAATACATTATAGAAATTCGCAGAATAAGGCCTCAGTCCAGTTAATTTTCCAAAAAGTATCGTGAATTAATTGGCCAATTGATTTAGGGCACGATGAATCAGATATTTCACCGATCAGCTTATTTCATCGACAATTATTTTACTAACATCTAGTTGTTCAGATTTTTGAAATACAGGCAGGCAGCAAAGCCACCTACGTTTGAAATTTCTGCGATAATCTAAAAATAATATGAAAATTAATGAAATTTTTGCTTTAATATTTTAAAAGTTTAAGTCATTTTCAATGAATCATAAAAATAATCTACCGGTATTATGACTATTACAATTCAATCAACATCTCGAACGATCCCGCTCATCGGAACTGATAGTTTATCCACTGTCTATAAATATAGTAAATAAAATAACGTTATTAAAAATTGCACTAAAAATACATATAATATGCATTACTTATAAGGCTCTGCGAGCTCTGGGCACAGTATTATTAAAACAGTGCCAAGTGAAGGACTATGACTTTATAATACAGTATCCGGCACTTAATTATTTACCTCGATAATCTTGATAATACGGTGTAATGTAGTTAATAAATATTCTATAATCCGGTTCAGAATATTTTTGTATATGATCACTTCTAATTTTTCCGATTCAGATAGTTCAAGTAGAATATTTTTATCACTTTACCATTTCGGAAATATTTCACATAGTTTTTCTGCTGATGGTCGTTTTTCTGGGTATCTTCTAAAATTCAGAAATTATCGGTCTCATATTTCTATTTGAAGTTTTGGCCCAATTTTTTGATTGGAGGTTTCAGAGTTAACTTATTTTGAATATAAGTGGGAGTTTGAAAAGCTATATTTTTGTTTTGAAATTTCGAAATCAGAAAATGTAAAAGTATTCATTATTATATAAATAAGCTTATGATATGATTTATAGATCACTGATTTCGAAATAAATTTAATTCAAAAAAATAAGAAAGCTGAACCTTAGCTCTGAAACCCCCTATTATATGAAAATGATTTCCCATAGAATTTCCCACATAATTATGGAAAATGAATAAATGTCAGATGATGCCCTTTTAAAAAATTTCTGGTGCTATATTATATGATACAGAAAGCCCTAAATACGCAATATATGCGCTATGCAAAGTATCTTACAAAGAACCTAAATCAGCAAGTTTTAAAACAAGGATATAGTTTTCAGAATCATCTTTTGATATTCCATAACATTGCAAGAATGAAGAATTTTCACAATTAATATCACAATATGCTTTTAACTATAAAATCAAAAAATGTAGATATTAAATGTAAGTCATTTTAAAAAAGCAGAATAATTTAATTACTTTTTCGTGAAAATATTTGACTTATTAAGTAATTTAAGAGCTACATTGGTGTGCAAATTATAATTTCGATCTAGACATTTGGCTTTATAATTGTTGCGAAGCCTCCTTGTCCTATCTTTTCTATATCTTCGAATTCACTAAGAAATCCACGATAAATTATCGTCTAAAATTTCTTCAAATTATCATCAATATCATCTTCATAAGGCTTTCACGTTGTTTCTTGTACTCCTTTTATAACTTTGTAAAACCGATTGATAATTTCGATCATCTACACGTTTTATAATTTGTTCAAAACTTTTAAATCGAAAGTATTGATTGATTAGTTGTTTCTTTTAAAAAAACAAAAAATTTTGATGTAATAACTTTGTTTACATATCTATACTGACAGATTCGCTGAGATAAGTTGGTGGAATAATTGGATCTAACTGGATCTTATGAAGAAATTGCTTTAATCAGAAAAATAAATTTTTTCATATAAAAAAAACTGTATAACAGTATATAACAGTGTATATTTTACAATAGAAATAAACAACCAATCGAAACAAATTTGACCTATGCTTCTATTTCAGTATTTAGTGCAAAAAAGATCCAGTATTTTTAATAAAGGAAAAATGCATATATCGGTATAATTAATATGGAAAACATACTTGTCTCCCACGTGTACCCGTGACTAGCGGTCTTTCAAACTCGTTGCGTAAACCGGATCAGGAACAAATGGACATTCATACCCATGAAAATACCGATCTTTTTGCGGAACACTACTATTCTTGATATCTATATATAACGATAAATAACTATATAGTAAAAGGCTAACTCTAATTTGAATCTCCTAAGAAAAAGTATATACGCGTTATCTTTTTAAATCAGGTCATACATTTTTGAAAAAGATGCTCTCCTGATTTTGTGTAACACGAAAATATAAACTGCCAAAATTTTGTTTAAAAAAAAACCACTCTTTCTTTTCAACAAAAAATTCGTTAATATTTACTCCTATTAGATATTAGATATTTTTATATTAAAAGCATCAAAAATAGTCAATACGCCTGAGTTACTTACCAAAATTTTTATAAATTTAAATATTACGTCTTTGTATTTTTGCACTGTGAAATGGTGGCACAAAACACCACCCGTAAAATGGCGGCACTAAAGATGACAGATTACTAAAAATAAACCTGATTTCCATGAAGAAAAGGATAACAACCCGCGAACAAAACTTTTTAAGGTATATGTTGTTGAATAATAAATAATTTTATATGTATTAATACACTATGATGAATTATAATATGTTCGACGTTTTTATGTTTATATTCTTGGGAGTCGATGGTATTTAAACAGGATTGATATATCGTCTGATAATTTTTCTTTATTCTTTTTTCTTTAATTTCACTATTTTAGATACCAAATATGCCTACTTTTACTTTCGTCTCCATTTCCGCCTACGCTTCTTCTTCTTCGCAAAATATTCTCTTTGCCACGTTATTCGCGCTTTTTCCGTTCGACAAATGGTCCCTTTATCGTTACGTCTCTATAATTATTGATAATTATCCCAATGCTAAAAAAGTGAAATACAATTCACAAGAAGTACGTGACATAGCGAAACGACTTATCGACAAAGAATGAATAAAATTCCTGTCGAGTGCTTTTGTGAAATCCTTGAACACCTGGACAATGAAGCCTTACGAAGTTGTACCTGCGTAAACAGTCAATGGTTTGGAAGGGCTTTAGGGGTGTGTGGGTATTATGCTACTACGTAGTATATTTATTTATCTTTATGTGAAATATTTCTCATCGGATTTGCTTTTTATAGGTTAATAGTCAAACCGCCAAAGTCTATGAAATAACACGAAGCAAAGCGAAAAGACATCGGAGAAACGAAAACCTATCGATCTGATCTCAACGTAGAAGTACCTCTTCGAGCTAGTGGATCGGTAGATATCTTAGAGGTATTAAAATCTGCTGTTTGTACGTTTGATCAAAAACTATTGCTCTAGGATCAACACGTTTTTACAAAAGCTCAAATCATGAGCAAAATGTAAAAGTTCCTAGAGAAAGTACGTACGACGCAGAAATGTACCGAACCTTACTTAATTGGCTTGCGAAGGTACATGGCTTTGAGGTAACTGGTCAGTGGCATTTGGAACGAATTCACGCAGACGGTGCCTTCCAACACAACTTCTGTGATCTAACAATTAGCAAACCTGGCATTTCCAAACCTATAGCCATACTCGAGCTTTTGGCTACATCTTCGCCCTTTGGAAGTTTGGATCGTACACTTCTCACGTGAAGATGATGCAACCAAGAAAAGATGGTTTTATAAACGTTCGAAATTAGTGAATTTGTAATTTTTTACTTTTAAATAAATGTTATTTCTTTTTTAATATTATTACCATCTTTATTTTTTATAAATTTCTTTTCATTAAATCCCTATTAATAATTTTATTACCGTTTTAGTTTCAATAGTTTTTCTTAGAAATTCGAGAAACGTATATATATTTTTTTTATGAATATCATTCCAGTTTGCAAAAACGTTGTAAATCAAATTTGGTAGTAAAATAATATAATATAAATTGTATACATGTATATTATATTATTTTGAAATAAAGTCTTGCCAAAGTAAAAATATATATATATACTGTATAAACTAAATAAATATTTTAATTTCGTAAATGCTTACATTTAGTAAATTACATAATTTTTATAATTAGACAATATAATTTTAAATATTTTACTAATAAAAAAAAATCATGTATATGTTTATTTATAATATTCCCAATGTAAATTACCAGCCCAACCTTGTTGAGAGAGGTAAATCTCACCATCGTGCTCGATACGAAATCTCTTATTTTTATAGATATTCTCGTAGGCTTTTTTTAGTCAGAGGCTCACTTTTTTTACACCAAAAAACTATTGAAATCATGATATCTTACGCAGTTATGTAGAAAAGAGCTACTACCGATATTAAACAAACGTAATAAATGCAAATACTTACCCTATAGCACTGCATATAATATTCCCATAAAATGAAACACCATGATTAAGAATATTTCTTGAATAAGATCCGAGGGATATCATACACAGTTTTACGTACACAAAATACGTACAGTACGTACTTGTTATGATCATATAAAATTATTTTTTCATATTGGACAAGTCGAATATGGTAATTTGACAAATGATTGGATGCAATGCTGAATGCTGCTTTGCGGCACATGCTTATTGCCAAATTACCACCAATTTTTGTCCAGTACAGGGTTCATATTTAGGTTCATATATTTTCTGTGAACGCTCATAATTATTAGCGTTAATCTTATTATAGTCCAGGGTTCTTAAAACCTGTAATAATAGTAGAGTATATGTGAGGGAAAATAGGACATTGGTTTATATATCAATGATAAACCAATGTCCCATTTTTTTTGGCGTCACTCATACAATATCATAGTAAAATAAATAAAGCGCGGTGACGATGTCCTATGCTTAGAGTCAGAATGAGTATATTCCTTTTTCAAATTCAAATTATTAATCGTAGAGCTGCGAAATATCGTACACTTGTGCATTATTTCGAGTATGTCCATGTGCATTATTTCGAAAAAAAGAGCTAATTTTCTGAACTCGTTTATTACTATGTCAATCGATATTAAATATTATAGATACGGTCTTACGACATCACTCAATTACGTTCGTTCTATATAAAATTTGACGCACAACATAAACATTTGAAATTAAGTATGCTATTTTATATGATTGTTACTTTGCAATTTTATGGTGTATCTTACATGAGAAACATAATACATTATTATATGCAAATTAATCATAAAAAGTTAAAGGATTGTGCAATATCGCCAAGCCTTTTATTTAATAATAATCAATTTACTACGAGAAATAAACAGTAGACCATACTGAACGAATCAAGTAAAAGGACGTCAGATGCCCAAGAAGAATGATGCCCGTAAATAGTCTTATTTCGTCTAGAATTGACCATTATGTTCTCAACTTTTTCATCATTTGGCCAATTTTTAGCGTTCTATATAAAGGTCAATGTGAATGACATGGAGATGAACTAAGCTATATAATTTTATTATTAGTCATACCTATTACTGGCTGCACAGCTTTTCTTTAAACAGTTATCCAAATGCGAGTTTATACGTAGATTTGTAGGATTTTTAAAAGATTTATTACATTTTGGACACACCCAATCAGCAATTATTGACCGAACATCTATATCATCTTCCGCATCTTCTTCATCATCATGTACATTCATAACTGGTGCATCTTGTACGGACAAGTTCAACTGATCCATGCTTCTATCATTGATTTCATCTATCTCCATTGTTTTCAAGCACATGTTCAGATGCTCATTAAAATGTATATTTGACACATTTAAAAACAGCTTATTACAACCTGGGCAAGTATCCTTCCTAAAAGTAGTTGATGTAGGGCACCATTTATTATATTCCTCACTTGTTACTTGAGTTGAATTCGACAGCTCTGTAGTGGATTCACAATTTGTTGGCAAATTTGTTGACAGCGTTTCAGATGATTCAAAAGTAATGAGTCGCCTTTTAACGCTCTTTTTTTGTTGAGCTGCATCTTCTTGAACTGAAAACCACTTCAAATAAAGATATTTTTATATTAGATAATGAGGCACTTTAACGGCAAAAGATATTTTAATTTTATGTAAAATTTTACAATAATTTCATATTACCCAGCCTTCAAAATAAAAATATACGTTCATTTATTATATAAATAAGCAATGTTTTTATATTTTGAAGGTTTAACTTGGTAATATTGAATTGATATAAATTTTTAATAACTTTAAAATATCCCACTGCTTTCTTGCAATGAGGGCCCACAATTAAATAACCGGAAATGATTTATACATACCCTTTTCAGACCATTGTTCTCTGCTTTCGGTTTTACTAATAATTCAAGAGCAGGTTGTGACCTTTTTGATTGTTGATTACTTTGTTGATTATTTTGTTGTTGACTATTTTGTTGTTGATTATTTTGTTGAGAAAACCACTGAAAGTTATATGTGTAATTAATAAATCAACAATGATTTTCAAATAATAAAAGCAGTTTTACTCTTATACCATTTTCAACCCATTTTCACAATCACGTGAACTCAAATTAGAAAGTCGAATTCCCAAAAGCCTTATATTCAAAGGCAATTCATCTGTTACAATCTATTACTAAAAGTAATCAGGGACGTTTTAAAGTTTGGAGAAGAATAATTCAGGTAATATTAATAAAATTACTTGTTTTCCGATATTATATATATCATCAGCTGTATGTATATATTTCTTAACAGATCTTTCACGTGTAATCAATTTAAAATTAACTAATTTAAATGTTATTGCGATTGTTTTTCCCTATATTTTTCAAGAATAATTAATATGGAATTTATACTTTTATATAATGGTGTACTTAAAATATAATTACTTGAAGACGCTCCTTTAAGAGATCAGCTGCCAGGTGATCAGCCAACTCACGAAGTTTCTCATATATATCATTGGGTCTATTTAAACTGCTGAATGTTCTAATTAAGTGAACGGATCAGTATGATAAATATATTATGATTACACCCTGTAAACGCGTTCAATTAAAATAGTTTTTTTTTTCATAACCTTGATATACTCTTACTCTTCCGTTTATGATCTCTAAACAAATAATTAAATATAATTATATTAATTATAATTGTATTAATTGAAGTATTAAAGAGAATAATCTACTCACGTTTTAACAATAGTCGACCCAATTCCAAGTGCAGCTCGAATGAAGAAATTGAATGAAGTTAATGAAAACATCTGATGTATATAAACGCGATTATTAAGTATTGCACCACAAGTTTTAATATCCATTTCATTTAGGATTCTTTCAGTGACTCGACCGATGCCTTATACATTAAATTATGAAAGTAATTGAGATATACTGTATACAGTACACATGTAGATATAAGACAACAATAAAACAGAAATATTACCAGGAATCTTGCGGATAGAAAGAGGTCGAACGAATTTCATTATATCATCAATATTGTTTTGAAGTCTATACTGACCATTTGGCTTATTTAAATCAGAACATATTTTAGCCAATAACTTGTTTGCAGCAATACCAGCACTAGCAGTTAATTGAGTCTCTTCATGTATCTCTCTCCGAATTTGTTCAACTACATTATCCGGGGATTCATCAGTTGTCTCAAGGTACTTTGTTATATCTAAATATGCTTCATCCAAACTCATAGGAGTATAATTTGGATCATAATGAGAAAATATCTCACGTATTTGTTTCGAAACTGCACGATATTTGTCAAAGTTACATGGAACTATGATAAGTTCGGGACATAATTTCTTTGCGATAAATCCAGGCATCGCACTACGTACACCATACTATAATAATGATAAGAGAGATTTTTGATTTAGTTTCATATAATAAAATTTAAGACGTTAAAAAATAAACCTACATTTCGAGCTTCATAATTTGAAGTGCTCAACATAGAGTTATCACCCACAGCCATTGGTTTATTACGTAAAGAAGGATTATCCCTTTCTTCAATAGCGGCATAAAAAGCATCCATATCAATGTGTACAATTATATGAGATAAATCTCTCTCACGTTCTGCTGCTTGTATCAAACTATCAACTTTACTATTAAGAGTAGTTAAGTCTTGTTTTTTAAGCGATTCGTATTTTTTCATCATTTGTTTAAGTTTGAGACCTAAAGCTTCATCCTTTTTGGCTTCGTTAAGATAAAATGCAGAACTCTAAAACGATAGATAATCCAAATATAAGCAAGGCTTATAACATTAGGACCCCGAATAATATATATAGAGGTTATATCTCTAATATAAACATTTTTTTTGTAAATTTTAAGTAATTTTACCCGATTAATAAATATAACAAAAATTTCTTTTTCTTTTTTTTTCAAATAAATTTTTTCTCAAAAAAATTTGTTGCCCTTTTTTTTCAAATATAACCTAACTAAAATTTATTAATTTTATCCATTTTTAATAACATAACATTTAAATGCTTTTACCCATTTTTTAAATATAACCTTTTAGCAAAATAATTGCTTTTCAAATATAAGCATTTTATCCAAAATTTCAATATGACCTCTATATGTATTATTCGGGGGTCCTATAACATTACTGTGTAAATGTATCAAATATAGTATTCTTCAATGTAATATATAGTACATTACTTTTGAAGCTTCATAGATAATTTGTTTAACTTTTTCTTTATCGATTCCTTGAAGACCTGCTTTATTTGAAGCAAGTTCACCTATTCTACTATTACGTATTAAATCATTATTTTTGCTACTGGTTGAACTAGGATATAAGACAGAAGATGGACCAATATTTTCATTTTCTTGGTCTTCCTCAACGCAATGAAAATCAGCTTCAAGTTCTTCACCGATTAAAAATTCTTGTGAATCAAAGATATCATTTTCCATCCTGGATCAGCCAAAACAACGTAACGTGTATTTGATGCAGACTCAATTTTAGGTAGCGTAATTGTAATTTTGACCAATCAAAATTTAAGATCAGATGTGACATTTTGTTTTTCCAAGTAAAAAGTTGACGTGTAAAACTAAAGCTAAGAAAACCGCGTTATAGTTAGGGTTATGGATATGGTTATGGATATGGTTATGGATATGGTTATGTTATGGTTATGGTTAGAACGATACAAAACTTAATAGTAAATTTCACAAGGAACATTTTTAATTAAGCCGTAGAAGATTGTTTCCTAATTAAAATTTAGAGCTATTCTTGTTTTTTTTTGTTAAAAGCTTCGTTACACCTGATCCTGAAATTCGATTGGCAAATATTACAGGGAATGAAGAATTTTTTGCGGAGAACTAGGTATGCGTCAGTTTTGTTGTTACATATCATCATTTATTATATCAGATTTATAATTTATTCCGGCGATTTCCCGAACTGCAACATTACACAAATTAACTGGCACTTCTTTTACGATAAATTTGTTTGTTATAAGACCATATGAATTATCAATTCATATTACGTACATACGTACGTATGTACTTATAAACGGAATACTACAATACTGAATAAATTTTAAAATTCTGGATATAAACTTTTACATGTGATTGATCGAGATTAAGGAAGGGATAATTATACAGTACGTATATAAGTACAGTGTAAGTATAGTATATATATATATGTATATATACAGTATATATATATTTTATTGTATGAATGAATATTACCATTATGTTTTAATTATAACGCATTAGTAGGTTTGCATTATGCTAAGAAAAATTCATTATATAAATTATATAATTAAAATAAATTGGCACGTTGGATATCTGAATGTACGTACGCACATAAGATACCTTTTTTTTTCCCATTGTACACAGCCACATTATTTACATAACAAGTTCCTAACAACTCTTTGCCTAAAACACGATGGTCAATTCGTAGTTGTAAAAATTGGTTAACTATCAGCTATTGGCTAATCAATTTTTACAATTTGATTGGCTGGAAGTCACATGATTGACACATATTGATCTGATATGTACGGTTATATTTAATTGTTATACAAAATTGTAGTTATTAAGGCTTTTTGAAATTTAAGTTTGCGGTTATCTGTTTAATAATCGTTAACGTTAAACGAAAATTTAAATCGATTAGATATAAATAGTATTAATTACTATTGGCTAAAATGTTTTCTGATTATGTATCTAGCATGTATATAGATAGATATAAATAATAGTAACAGATAAGATTATCTGCCAATGTACGTACGTACGTATGTATATATGTACTTTCATTGCAACTAAACTGTTAAATTCAATATTGTACGTACGTAAGTACGTATAATAACAGATAACGTACAATTTATATGCTGCCAATTACCGTATGATCATATCTAACACTAATCGCAATACTGTTATATTGATACAACTAATACAGTAAAGTCACAATGTCGTTATAAACATGTTTTTTTCTTGTTTCAAATGATTATAATGAGAACTACCGTATCGGTATCAGTATTCTTTTGCTGCTAATATATTTTTAAGGGCGTAATTTAAAAAAGCGTTTATTCTGACAATGGACACTTTTAATAACTTTACATATCGATATCGATATAGTGTATTTTAAAAAGAGTTGTAACGCTAAAGTTACGTATTACGTATTTTTCGTCCATTGACTTGTGTGCATATATATAGTATTTCTTTTGCAAGAAATCATGTTGATCCGTGATTACTAATGAGCAAAAATAGTTAAAATCATCATATTCAAATAGTAGATAGTGATAGAAATAGTGATAGAATATAATAAAATTTTGAATATAACCACATTTGTTCGTTAGAGTACATTTATGCGCATGTAAACGCCCAATAATCATATTTTTTATAACGGCTTATTCCGATATTTGTACAAATTTAATTTACAAATACGTTAAAAGTACGTACTATAAATAATCAGAGGGTCACTTTGTGTTCCCTCCTGCTTCGATGTTCTGCGGTGTGAATTCTTTATCGTTCTTAGTAAAAATTCTCAGTATATAACATAGTATAGTAAAATCCCTTAGTCGGAAATTTCATTGAAAATGAAATGTGTTCCATATAAAATACCCGCAGGAAAATGCATCCAAACTTTTATTATTTTTGGTAACCGATTATTTCACTTGATTGAGTAAACATGACACAAAATCTGTTCAATCTGTTTGTTTAACACCAAATCAAGAAAGCATACGTGCAAAATTGGTGCATCATTAAATTATACCTTTCGGGTGACGTAGGAGATCTTTTGACCTACCAAATATATGAAGCTTTCGAAGTACTGTAATAAGTCGTACCATTTTTTTTTTTTTTTTTTTCATTCTCGTTTGATCGCGATATACCATATAGTCTTTATTGCGTACATGGTTACACCTGCATGGTTCTTTCCGATTCGTGGTGTGACATTAAATATATATTCTATTTTCTTTATTCGATCTTCGTTATTCTTTTATCTTTTAGATTCTACATATTCAAAATTTTCTTCATTTAATAAAATAAATAATAATAATAATAATAATAATAATAATAATAATAATAAAAAATGACTTGTCAAATATTTGCTGAAATTTTAGAAAAAATTCTAGAAAATTTAGAAGATGATAAAAACACATTATTTTCTTGTATGTTAGTAAACCGTTATTGGTGTAAACTTGCCGTTAGAATTCTTTGGTCAAAACCTTTTCATCTTTCTTATTCTCCAAAACTTGTTCGTTCTTATCTTCCTTTTTTTCCTCCTGATTCAAAAGTAACTATCGGTCTTAATCATTCTTTTCAACCTTTTCAAAAATCAAATCCTCCTTTATTTGATTATCCTTCTTTCATACGTAGAATTTCGGTTTATTATATGTGTTGTGGAATAAGATCTTTTATTTTAGATATTCAATTTCGTGATCAAGGTGATTCAAAACAACGTAGATATACTGATGCTGAATGGATTTTATTCACTCGTCAAACTCAAAATTTATCTAGAGAATTATTCAAATTATTTTTAACTAGATCTCCAAATATACTTAGTCTCAATCTAGCTATGCAAGAACGTGATTTTTGTTTACGTGAAAATCCAAACAAATTTCTTGCTTTAGATCGTTACAAATCTGCAAAATTCGCTTTAAGTAAATTACGTCAATTTAGTTCTGGTGGTGAAGGAAAAAAATTTTATGAAATATTATCAAAATTTTGTCATAATATTAAATCTTTTAATATTATTTATAATTTTGGTGATTATTGTAAATTTGAGAATTTAATTAAATCTCAAAAAAATTTAGAACATTTACAAATTCATCATATGTCTTCTCTAAAGGAAATATTAAATTCTTTAGAATCTCAATTTATGTCTTTAAGAACTTTGGAATTTTGGGATTGTGTTTTTACTGATACTTCTTTAGATTATGTTTCAAAATGTTTTAAACTTGAAAGAATTATTTTTCATTATTGTTCAAATTTAACTGCTGAATTATTATATCCATTAAGTTTAGCTAAATTTCAAAATATTAAAACTATTTATTTTAGATTTAAAGAACGTCTTGATCATAAGGATAGACCAATAGATGAATTAGCAAACTTAATAGAAATTTCAAATTCTACTTTATCCGATTTATATATACAAGGTATTGGATATCCATCAATAAGAATTTTTCAAGCAATAGTAAATTGTAAAAATTTACAAAAACTTTCAATTCAAATTCAAATACTTGGTGAATTTCCTTTATTATTACATATTATGAAAAGTTGTAAAAAATTACATTCAATTTCTGTACAAGAAAATCCTAAATTTTTTGTAGAAAATTTCTTTTTACCTCCAACATCTAGTGGTTCAATTGGAAATTCCATGGATTCTTATTTAGATGCAAACGAATTTTTTCCTCAAATTTCTCAAATACTTAATGAAGATGTTAATCATTTAGTATTAAATTTACCTAATTGTTGGATTACTCCTGAAACTTTACGATTATTTTTAAATAATTGTAAGGCAAATTTAGAATATTTAAGATGGCAAAGTTTTCATAATATTCAATTATTTGTGGAAATTGTTGAAGAATATGGTAGAAAGATGGGAAAAGAAATAAAATATGGAAATTGGAAATGGGAACAATTTAGAGATAACGTGGGTCCTATTACCTTAGATGTTGAATTTCATAATCGGGATGTTAAACCTTATAGGTAAATATATTTATGTACTGTATGAATTATATATATTATATATATATATATATATCGATATACGTTAATAATTAATTAATTAATTCTATTTTAACTAATAAAAGTAGATGGGAACAAGAATTTATATTACAACAAAACCTTATCGATTTGTTACGATGAGTGCGATTCCTGATTGATGTTACTTTAAGTCAATTTGAACAAATAAGACAAATAAGACAAATACGACAAATACGACAAGTCATCAAGTTATCGAGTCATCAGTCATCAAGCTATTAAGTCATCAAGTCATCAAGTCATCATACTGGTTAAACCCCTTATTATCGTTATTATTATTATTATTTTTTGTTATTTGACATACTGTAGCTTAAATCTTTATATTTGATTAAATATAGTTTAGAATTTAATTATAATATTTTTTAACCAATACATATATACAGTATATATATATATATATATATATATACATTGTAAAAGAGTTAATATAAAAAAATCATTACCTAATTGTATTTGTACAAATAAAAAATCTATTAATAGGATGGATAAAATATATAATAATAGATTATATAATTTTATGTATCACGGCACATTGTAATTAACGTTAATGTAAACTTTGAAAAAATTCTCGATTTCTAAATATCGATATACAATGATGGTTTGCTATTATTGGAAGTATTGTAATACATGTACATTGCTTAAATATCTTGATTACTATTGGTTTATTTATTATTGTATTCGACCAATCATAAATTTACATTTCAGATCTAAATTTTTAAAAATTTAACCATGTCGTCAGCATCCAAAAAAACGAGACTTGCTGTACTTAACGCATATAAATATCTGTTAAAAACACAAAAAGAAACATTTAATGGTATGTTTCTTCTTGTCTTTCGTTTCATTTTTTTTTTTTTTTTTTTACATTTTCATATTATTAAAAATGCTAATGCGTATTAAAAAGGAGACTTCTTGGCAATATCTGGTTTGTATTTTTTTTTACCTTCCTTTCGTAAAGTAGATCTTAACCATTAAACTAGTTTACCTTAATCAATTCTTTTTATGATATAGAAGCGAGACGCAAAACACGTGAAGAATTTTTAAAAAATAAAAATGAAACAGATGAAATAGAAATCAATAACGTAGTATTCTTACTGTTCTTAGTTATTTCTTGACTAAATTTTATTTCAATCGTATATTTATATATTCTAGCAAGTTAATCAAGCACTAGAAGCAGCTGAATTTATAAAGTCAAATGTTATCCAAGCTGTATTTGACGAAAAAGCAAACAGATTCAGTAAGTTTAATAATAAACTTCAATTTTGCTCTTGTTATATATTATAAACCTTTTCAAAATAAAATTACATATTAAAGGAAAAGAGACAATAAAGATAGAAATTTTATTAAAGCTATAAGACACCAATGTTAAAATTAGTCTTTAAAACTCTCTTATTTGGAAAGTTAGTAACTTCATTTTACTTTTACCAACTTTCTAAATGAGGAAATATTAAAGACCAATTTTGGCAGTGGATCTATCTAGCTTACTTTAGTCATATAATATATTTGTTCTTTTAATAAATGTAATTTTATTTTCAAAATCATTTAAACTGTTATTAATAATGTAAACTAAATGTGATAGCTAATTATATGAATATGTATGTTGAACTTTATTATTAAATTGGTTTCAATCAGAGGCAAAAATAACTGAGAATACCGAACTGGGTGATAATGAATCAATCAAAAATCCACTATCTATTAAGGAATTAAAAGAAAAAATGAAGTGTGAAAGTTAACATTTTTCTATTTTATACTATAATTTTTTGGTGGATCACAAAATAAAATTTACTACAATATTTTTTTTTTTAAAAAAAATACCCTATTTTTACTATAATTTGATGTTTGACCCACATTTTTATGTTTTAAAAATTTCTCAATTTTGGCTCTGCCCATGCAGGCTGTAATAAGAGGTTCAGATAGCTTTAAAAACAATTATTCTTTTATATTTTAAAATTACACAGTAAATTTATACAATACTATAGAGTTATACGTGCATTTAAAATCAAATTACACATTAGTAATTTATTTTAATAGATTTGCATAGTCACGCAATATTATGGAGTCGTAAGATATTTTATATTCATATAAATATTTTATATTCATATAAATAGAAAATATATTAATGAAGAGGAAAGTTTAGAAAATATAATTTATTGATTGATTCTATTTAATTCTACATTATATTTAAATACACATAAGAGTATACAGTACATAAAACTTCATAAGAATATTAGCTATGCTAACTTCTTTAGAGTTAATATAATCTATATTTGCAGCAAAGTTTTTATATAGTAATGGTGATTTTGTTATAGTGAGTTCTAAAGAACTTAATATAGAAATTTGACCAATAACATTTGCTTACGTGATTATTAGAGGCTGCTTATTACCTCTCACCTTCGCATATAAGAAACCTTACCGGTAATAAATTTTCTTTGATTTATTTTGATTGGCTAATAAATTAGGCGAATAAATCCGTAATTCGATTGGTCAATTAAAACATGTGATTAAATTACCTTTATCGTTTATAACCTGTTTATAACTAAGTTATCAAAGCGACTACATGTGTTTGATAAATGAAATCATTATAGAGTCAATTTTACAGGGACTGAGCCTGAGCCGATAATAGTTATAATAAAATGAAAAACAAGTTTACATTTAATTGTATTTTCGGTGACTATACAAAATTTCATTTTAATCTGTCACAAGGATTAATCTTTATAAATGTAAGTCAGCAAATTATAATAGGTCTTGTGCATTGTATATTGAATAAAATAATACAATTAATAAATTTGATGCTACTAAAAACTCAAAATTTTTTTGCCGATGCTCGAAATTTTTGTGACCAAATGATGCTTAAAACTGACCCACCTAGTATCGCCACGCCACCACGATCAGTTATTTATTACGGAGCTTAAATTTATTGCCGACATTAAAATTAATAATAATGATGACATTTAATTAATAATAAATATATGTATATGAATAATAATAACAATTAACGTTGAAATTTTTTATTTCTTTGGATATCGTATTATTTTATTATTTTCTGAAATGGAACATACACAAAACTTTGTTCATCCTGTCAAATTACGAAACCAATTAATGAAATTTCAAATTAATAGTAAATCATGTTTTGAATGCATAAACCGTGTAAATGAAAGCCAAAAACGGAAACGTGAGGATTGAATTTTAAACGATATTCACAAGCAAAAAGGAAATGCCATAAAATTCGAAGAGCTTGAATATATAGTTTATGAAAAACTTATGGATTTTGAAGGAGAAAGCAATATGCTTATGGATCTTGAGATAGTTGTGATATTTCCCAAACAGCTAACGAATATGGGTTAAAAAAATTTTTCTAAATCTAATATTATATTAATTCAGGTACGACGAAACTCTCAATATCTTTTGATTACAGAAGCTAAAGAAACTTTATGGGAAAATATTCGAAAATCAACCTTAATTGATTATACACAAGTCAACTTAACGATTGATCTGGTAAATTTAGAAAACCAGAATATAGATAATGAGGAATCGAGTGCTGACGGTAGTGAATTCGAATCTGAAATTTTAGGAAAGTACAAAAACTCTTCACGAAGTATAAAAGGATTTTTTTTTTTTATAATTATATTTCTGTGTTTAAATAAATATATTTATTAATTTTATGTTTTAGGCGCTTGATTGTCTTGAAAAGTCCAATAATCTTCCAAAAAAAAAAAAAAAGGCTTCGAAGTATTGAATCGAACCTTAAACCTATTCAGAAAATGGTAGATAACATTAAAGATTTCGAACGAGCAAAAAAGCTTCCAAAAACTTGGAGTGGACGTAACAAAACACATTTTATTGGTAGTATTAAATTCAAATTTAAAGCTTTATATGTGTATAAACAAATTTTAAAGCTTTATACGTGTATTAAATAAAATTTAAAGCTTTATGCGTTTATTAAATAAAATTTGAAGCTTTATACGTGTATTAAATAAAATTTGAAGCTTTATATGTGTATTAAATAAAATTTGAATCTGGATGTAAATGCATTTTGTACATTCGAATTGAATGTATTTGACTTAGAATTTGGATAATTAAATTAAATAAATTCTAATAAGTTGAATAAAATATAAAAAAACTTCAATTATTTCTTCAAAAAATCTCGTGATCTCGTGATTCTGTTATTCTTGCTCGCAGATTGAAATTTAAAAAGCGATTATGTGACTGATCATGATGACGATACTAGGTGCGTTTTTTACAAATATAATCTGGAAGGCAAATTTTAAACTCAAAAATCTGCCGATCAGATTAAGCTTTTGCTTATATCATAATTCTTTCTTATTATTACGCAAAAAATGATAAGAAAATAATTGGAAATAATAATTCGATTATCACAGTACGTAGATTGAGATTAGAGGTTACTATAATTTGACTTTAATTTATTTTAAGCAATCAGAATTCTTATATTACAAAAATATCTACTGTAACATATATTTTACACAATACGGTTCAACTCGGTTTGTTAGTAAATCCAATTCAGTTATTGAATTTACAACCAGTTCCAACCTTTAATTGAGATTAACAAAGGGTGTTGAATAATAAAATTAATAAGGAAAGCTTTGTAGCATACAGTACGTAGAATCAGCATTGTGATTGTTAGAATATGGCCTGCATTCTATGACCTGTCGGGATGACAATCATTTGTACAAATTCTAATGCATTCTATAACCTGTTGGGACGACAGTCAAAAAAGAGAAAAAAAGAAAAAAAAAAAACAGTGGCTACCAATTAGAGGGAATTTTTGTTAGCATCGCATGTCTTGATGTGTGCCAGGTTGAGCCTATGCCCCATTGAACCTAGGTGCCGCTATACATGGGTGCCTAAATTATTTTTGAAAAATCGTATTTTCGGCTAACATTTCGGCATTGTCAAATTTTTTATATGAAACCCTTCGAAATAACTATATTGTATGGTGTATGAAAAGAGTTCAAAAAATTTCGGCAATAATTTCGGCTGCCTAAATACCGTAATTACTTTTTTATTACAGCTATTATCATAATTCCTGAAACACCTGATAAAATTAGCCGAATGATTTTTCGGCCGATTCGGTTAAGTTATAAATTTCGGGAATAATAAGATTCAGTAACAGATATATCAGATACGTAATTTAATAAGATCAGATGACTATTATATATTAAAATAAGACTAAACATCGACATGTACTTGTAAGTTGTAAATTTCAATTCCTACTCTTTGGCACGATCCATTTTCGCTCAAATGAAGCCTTTATTCATTTAAAAAATTGAGCAAAATTTTAATTCCTATTCTTTAGCAAGATCCATTTCGTTTAAACGAACGAAGCCTTTATTTATTTCTAATTATTTTTCATTTCTTGTCGAAGACGAAAAATTAGTTTTTAAAATAATGTGTAAAATTTCAATTCCCATTCTTTGGCAAGATGAACGAAATCTTTATTCATTTCTAATTATTTTCAACGAAAATTCATTTTTAAAAAATTGTGCAAAATTACAATCCCTATTCTTTGGCAAGATCTATTTTCGTTTAAACGAAGCCTATATTCATTTTTAATTATTTTCAATGAAAATTCGGTTTTAAAAATTGAATTAAATTCCGATTTCTATTCCTTGGAAAGATCCATTTTCGTTCAAACGAAGGCATTTATTTATTTATTTCTAATTATTTTTTGTTTCTTGTCGAAGACAAAAAATTTATTTTTTAAAAATTTGGGATATATCTAGAAATGATGTTTACAAAGCACCTTCGCTGGCGAATCGTTGAAAAAAATTTAGAAATCTTATCAGTTCGACAAATTGCTAAACACTTGGTGTCAGCAAGTCTTCTAAACTAATTTTAAACGTTAGTACTAAAATTTTTCAATATATAAATAAATATAAACATATAAAATTTTTTACTTTGATAATTCTTCATGCAT